GTTCAACCACGCCCCCTGATTATGTATTTTGGCCTACTTTGAAAGGCGTTGATGCTAAATTATGCCGTTACTTTCCCCATTGCCAGCTTGCACCCTTTTCTTTTTTATTTTTGCTTGTGTGAGTTTGGAGGGAGTTCGTGCTGCTGGTGGATACTTTTAATATGTTGGGAAAATAGCAATTTAAAATCCAGTTAAGGGGAAAGCAGGTGTACTGAGCGTTTTTCAGCCGGTTGCAATTAATGGTTTTAATTGAGCGAAACTAAAATAAAAAGGATAATCCCCGTGTTTTTTAAGGGCCTATAATGTTGATTTCAATAAAGAAAAAAAAACGTAATTAATTGGGCAAGCTTTAGAATACATTTACATTTATTTATTGAAAATAAATTAATTTTGGAGAAAAAAAGAATTTATTTGTAATGCATGTTTGCTCCTTTCTGGCGAGTTTGATACTTTACTAACTTTATTTTGGATACTATTGATCCGAAATTGCTTCACAAAGTCTAAGTCTAAGTATTTAATAACATTAAAGTTTAATGTTATCCGATCAACAAACAATTACATTTTCATTACTTTGGTACAAGCGTTGTAGAAAGTTTGTTGATATTCCTCCTCGGAAATTGAAGAAAAATAAAACCCTTCCCTGGATCATTCAACATTTATCGAAAACCACTCACGACTGTTTGCTTTGCCCCAAAAGAGGTGGTCATTAAATATTTTATTATTACATTTTCTAATAGTTGGTTAGGAAAGAATAGAAAATACGCCACGAAATGTCGCAATTCGAGGCGAGGGTTGTAAAATTTAATTTATCAAACTTCTGCTACGGTGCACCCACAACAGAAAGGGACACAAGACGGCTTGGTAAGAGAGGGAGAGAGGGGTGACGATGAAGAAAGAGACACCGCACGGAAACCGGAAGGCGGATGGCGAATGGCGGATGGCGGGAGCAAATTTTGTGCCTGCACTTCCGCTTATAGTCGCATTTGTGGTTTGTGGATTGTGCGGTGGGTCAGTGGGTGGTGCCGGCGGTTGTTAACTGGATATCCAGCCCCATGTCGCGCGTGTGTTATTTATAATGCGACAGGACCGACTGAACAACACGAGTTTATTAGCCAGCGTAATTTACGAGCTGCCAACATTTTAGGGCCTATCTGCGTTAAGTTCTGCACACTCCCCACTTTGATGGAGCTGCTGGGGAAAAATGTGTGCAGTCAGCCGGATGGAAGAGCCTATTTATGGGATTTCATTTCGAAAACGGCGGTAATGCTAATCAGGGCAAATGGAAATCTGAAAACAAGTCGCTTAAGTGCAACCAACTTAGATTGATTGCTAGTATTATGTTCTTCGTATTGATGATACATTTTTGGGTTGCTTTAATTTACGCAAATATTGAATAAGATATGTAAAAACATGTCAATAATAACAAAAATATTTTTATAACATTTAAACATAGTAGAAAGTGACCAATATATTAATTATTATTTATATTATAATATGTATTATATTTTATATCCAATTTTCTTCTTTAATGGCGTCGTGTATACATTTTAAGGGGAACTGCATAAGCTAGAATGTAAAAAGAAGGAGTACATTTCATAAATATTATTGCAGTCAACATTGTTTTGTCTCCTCAAAAAGAATTTAAAATAGCTTTAAATCCATAAAAGGTTTACACTACTTCACTAATTAAAGCCAAGTCAAAAGGTATGCAATTCAAAATCGGAATATCGAAAATTTCTCCGTCGTTCCCTTACCGAAATGCCCATTATAGCCCACTTCTTCATCATCTCCCCGCAGAACCTCTTTTGAAAGTCTGAAACTAATGCACGCCAATTTTCAATACAGAAAATCGAACTTTGAAGTGGACGCCTCTCTGCCACGCCCCACGTTGCGTTACTTTCGAAAAGGGGGCGTTATTCAATGGAAAGCGGAGTGGGCGGAATGGGCGGAAGGGGGAGGTTCAAATGGGCCGAGGGATCTGCAGACGGCACTTGGCGTGCATTTCTATTTTGCTTGGCCGAAAAACTCTTGAAACTATTATCGATGAGGCGCCCGCTCAGTGGGGAGGTTATTTCTAAGTGGACGAGGGCGTCACTGACACCGTAAATACGCCTGACAAAAAGAAAACGTACTGAGAAAAAATATTGAGAATTTATGGTATCAACCAAATTAACACTATTATTTTTTTACAATCACCTAGGATAATTTATAATTAAAAGTAATTTTCTTAAAAGTGAAATAAAATAAGAAATGGTTTTAAGGCCATAAGATTCAAGCTAGAACATCAGGGAAAAATTCCCCTTAATGGTAAAAAAAGTATACAAAAATAAATCTATAATCGATAAATAAATACGTCGTTTTTCTGAGTGTAAGGGCTCCAGCGCTTGCGATGCGAACGAACGCGTTTTGTGCGTGTTAAAGCACACAGGGAATATAAAAAGGGAAAATATGAAAATATCCCTGCAACTTAAGGGAAGGGAAAACCCGGGGCAGCCTGGCCAGCACTTTACCACTTTTTATGCCTGGCGATAAATTAAAATTTTTATTAACATACTTTCTCCGGCGGAGAAAATAGTGGGAGAAAGAAGCGGCCAGAACAGGAGTCGCGGACCAAAAATGTCAACTTGTCCGGCACTTGTCGGCGATTCCCGGCAAGGAAAATCATGGGGAAAAGTAGAGGACTCTTTACGACTTTTGCAAACGCACGCTGAAACTGAAACTGACCACCTCGTTTCCATTTTCTTCTCTCTCGCCCCCATTCAAATTGCCCGCCCAGCTAAAGGAGCCTTTACAATTATAATTTGTTGATGCAGGAGGCACCGGAACAACGGAAAATGCAGTTTTTCATCTTGTTCACTCTGGGCGAAGAAGGAGAGGTGGTGGTGGTGGGAAATCAAGGAGGTTAGGCGGTGGGAGGGATTCTGCCAGACAGCCGCATTATCTATGCATTATTGTGGCTCGGCCATTGGCCATCTGTCGTTTGCCATCTCAGCAGAAAATAATATTCTATTAAATTATGTATACGTTTTTGTCGGAGGAGTTTGTAAAGTGAATATTCCACATAATGCAGTGTACCAGTTACATAAAGACGAAATTAATTTAACGCAGTAGGAAATTATAAATATTTCATTTCAAACTAATTTAACTATTAACTTGTTTTAATCCACTTATAAAAATTCTATTTGTAACCTAATTTCCCCAAGGAATCATGTAACCAATGCAGTTGCATATAAATCATTTCATATTTGTGTTACACAGAATCAGCAAAATATCAAATATTAAATGTATTTGTTCTGTCCAACTAAATATTTTTTCCCATTTAATTAATTATTGAATGCAGCACATATAATTACGATCTCGTGCTTAAATGTGAACAACAGACCCAAATGCGAAATGCAAAGCCCACGTTAAAGGACCTCTCCAGGATATCCTTCGAATGGCACGTAGGCAAACATTACTCTTGCGTTGGAATGCAAATATTTTCCACAATAATTGCTGCGCGACAAATGCGAGTTGGAAGCGAATGTAATTGCAATGGGAGTACTTAAAAAAGGGAAAACAACACATGCAATTCAATCATCCAATTTGGCATTCAAACAAAAATTATTTGTTTAATTTAACCCAACAGTAAAGAGGAAACGGAAGGGAGGAAATCACATTTCACCAAATGGGTTTCCAATTGATAAAAATAAAAAAATAATAATCGTGCTCATAATGGCAGCTGAGCGTAAAAAATTAAAACATGCAAGTAAAATAATTACAGCGCAGTAAATTGCAATTGCGGACACGAGCAGGAAAATCGAACAATTGTCGCACATTAACCACAGATGCGTTTGAATCGTGAAGGATGGGCAGGACTAATAGGGGGGCGGAATGGGTGGTACCAGGATAATGCATCTGTTCATCGATCTCCAGATAAATAAGAATTTCGGTTCACTAGTTTCACAGCGATATTAAGCGATACAAAGGAAGTCTTCGCTATAATATTTCCTACCATATTTTTATACCCTTGATTGTATGTTATTTATGAAAAAAGTATATGTTTTTTAAATCCATTGTACTTCGGAATGGTCATACACTCATGGATTATAGGGCGATACGATTTTAAGGACATTTCTTATCTTACTGAACATAAAAGGCATCAGAATTAAAAACAATCCCTTGAGTAGTTAAAAGTCTTATTATTGTTCACTTAATGGTGGTCAGCAAACACGAAATTATTATGACAGAAAACTATGAAACCGCTAACAATATGAAAATTTGATGCTCAAAGCATTTCTGAGGAATTCACAGCAGCAATAAATGTAATGGAAGGGAATTTATGCTCGATAGTGAAAACAGCTGAAGTGGAAAACAGCCACGAAAAATGTCTTGTTACGGTCGAAAGTGAAATGTTTATGGCATAGTTCATTGAATGGCAAAATCCCTGGAAACAAAATGGGAATAAAAATTCGGTCATTGAGAATATCTTTAAAAGTTTTTAATGCATAAGTTCTCAGAAAATAAACCCGGAAGTTGTATAAGCAATTTAAAAAACACTCGATCAAATTTGTTATGTACTAATGCCTTTTTTTTATTGCTCATAAGCACATGTTGAAAGTTGATTTATAATTCTAAAAATTGCATCACTCCCATTATTAAGTTAACTAACTGTAGAAAATAGACGTTGATCGCTGAAGCTTTTTACCATGAGTTTCTTTTCTTTTACAACTTACACGAAAAGATCCTGGAACCTAGTTGTCAGTTCCTTATTTCTTAAGTATATTGCTTTAAGACTGAGAGTATAAAAGCGTTTTTGCAAATTTTGACCCTAAAAATGAGCTTGTTGCTCGCTTTTTATACCTCATGGCGGACTTGAACAAAACGATCTTGCTCGTCAGCTTCACACCGAATATTGCCAAACAATTGGCAACCGCAGGCACTTTTCGCCCAATTTTCCAGCTGGTTTCGAGCTTTGCCTTTTATTGCCAGCTATTCTATTGTCTTTTATGTCAACTCACCAGACACAAGAGTTGATGAATTTTGTCGCTTCGCAGGATGGGCGACTTCAGGACAGCACTCACACACACTCGAACTAGCAGCAACCGAGCCTGCCTGTGTGTGTGTGTAGGTGTGTGTTGGTGGTTGTGTAGGTGCTAGTGTGAGTATTGGTGTGTTTATTTTGTAGCGCGCCAAAAAGTATGCAATGCGAACTTGGAGTCTTGTGTTGCGGCTCTGCGATTCGGTTTCCGACTGACGACTGACGACGTTTGGTGGGCTGATGGCTGATGGCTGATGGCTAGTGGCTGATGGCTGGTAATGTGATTAGTTGGCCCCGTCTATCGATGCTAGTGTGCCACTGTGTGTGCGAGCAAATTTTAATTTAATTATGTCGCTCTCGTTTCAATTACGAAAACCGCTCGCAGCGGAGACACGCACTAATAAACAAAGGCCAACAATAACAGAACGGAACGGAAAAATAAGCGACGCTTGGTGTCGCCGCCGAAGGAAAACTGAAGGAAATTGTGTCGAATGAGTGAGGGACCAACCTCTCCGCTTTCGCTCTCTCTTTCTCTCTCGCTCTCGCTCGCTCTCACTCGGCTATCGGTCTTTTTGCGCTGCTCTCTGGCTTTTCCGCTGATGAAAATGCTGGCAATCGAATGCAACTGCCGCCCACAAGCGACTGAAATGCGTTGCATACGCCGAGGCGCACGGTGATTCCCCCGAAACGATTGGAATCGAAACGCAACGAGTCTGTTTTCAGAACATTGAGTGAGTGGAAAGTGCACGGGGGAACGAGTGGAAAACCTTTGCAACACCTGTGCAAGAGGGGGTGGAATCGGGCAGAAAAGACCCTCATGCTTTCCCTATTCTTTCCTTATCGCCACCGAAACGGACAGTCGAAATTTTAATTGGATTTGTCCAACTTGCAGCACACAATTCAATTGAACCGCTCATTAAGCTAGAGGGTTGGGAAATTAGATCGAAAGGTCATAAACTTGCCTTAGTTCGTTTATGGGGTAGTTGCAGTGGGACAAGTAGTCATTTCTTTTCGATTGCCGGTCAGTTAACTGGCTCCCCTTCGCCTCTTACCTGCAAAGTAGTTATTCCTTAACGCAAGGTTATTTACTTAATCGAGTCCACTTTTTATAATTATATATTAATCAACAACATCCTAACATATAAGGAAGATTAGGGCTTCATTTTTAATTAAGGCATATTTTAAATTTCAAACATGATAAAGTCCAGTTGCTAACGATATTTTATTTTAATGATGGGTAATATTTTAATTTGAAAATAGCTGTTATTAGTTGATAGTAGATAGGAATACAAATAAGTTTTCTTTCATTTCAGTGTTTTTATAAAAATAAAAATATCGTGTATGAGTTGAAACTCTAATACAACGATGTGAAAATATACTTTAGTCTCATATTAAAGCGTTAGAAATGCTTTTGTTCCAAAGTTTTTTAAGGACGAGCAAGTGCGTTTTTCACCCACCAAGGTATTCGTAGTCTTCAACCTTTGTGGCAAGTCAATTAGGTAGTAACTTGCAGGGCATCAGGGCACCATTAACGGCTGACACAGAAAGAGTTTTACTCGCAGCACTTTGTGGAATGGATCTCTCGCCGGCTTTACCTGAAAACACTCCCCAAAGACGTCATTCTCCGTCTGTTTGATGGCATCTGGCAGTCCGTTTGCCCGGGAATCCCCTCCCAATCCCGGCCAGACTCCTCCGACGATGTCTGCCACTCGTTCACGGACTCCGAGCGATGACTTCTCCTCGGTGAGCAGGTGTTTCCATTAAAAGCGGGACAATAAAGGCAACACACGCACTGCAATATGCAACAGTTGCAGACACGCAGGAAAAGCAAGGAAGCGAGAAAAGAGGAGGGGGGAGTGGGGAATGGGGGCGTGGCAGTGGGCGGTGGGCGGTGCAACGCACATTTGTAAGCAGTTGTGTAATCTATCCATGAACGTCGCTTCCGTTTTTTGCATTTTATATGCTTAACGCATCGTTTGTCCGGAGCAAATTGAGTTTCAGTGTCGCTGGTGCTGAAATATCAGCTCTCGGATGGATGGATGGATGGATAGATGGATGTTTGGATAAACGGATAGATGGATGCCGGGATGAATGGCTGGAATAAATCATCACCACCATCGATTGCGAGTGCTGTTTAACAGCCGCCTCTTTCACTTTGCGGTGTTAAGCGTGCACGAGAAAGCGGCCAATTAAAACTTTTACCTTATCAACATAATTAAACAATTTGCCAAATTAACGCGATTGTCATCGGAACTCAGGAAGTGTTAAGAACGCGGAGTCCAAAGACTATGAATTCATTTAGTTGGTGTTTTCTCAAGACTTTTGAATTTCAAATCAAATTTCTTAAAAATCAAATCAAATATCATATAACTGCTATAGAAAGGATAGAAAAAATCTTTATAGAATTTAGGAAAAAAAAAAAAGAAAAAATGAATTATAGAAGTATAGAATTAAAATTTCGATTTATTCTATCAGCAAACACGATTTTTGGGATACACAGTTTTCTAATGACTCTCGCAAAAACTGTGGACGCCACAATCCTAATCCCCGCTGGAATATTTAATAAAAAGTTTTTTCAAAAATTATCATACATATTTGGAAAATTTACCAGAATCCTTTACCCTTTAATCCGAAAAATGTTTATTTGCTTTTTGTATTAGTCTATTATTTGTCATTTAAATAAAGCGTTCCGACCAGCAAAGATTTATTAATGATATGATTGTCAACCGTTTCCCGACTTCTTTCTTGAAAAGTTTGTATTCGACTGTTTGGATATATCTAGCTGCAGATAGAATATTACTTTTCTTCAGATGCTTATATGTTGATAAGGTTTCAGTCATGCGTATTTTCAGAATTCATTTGCAAACTGGATTCGTTGCAGTTTATCATATTTATCACGTCAAAATCTGTAACAGACCGAGAAGCAGTTAGTTACGAAGATTGGGTCTCACAGGTCTTACACACTCAATATGTTGAGGCACTCATATTTTTTATGGCTCTTCACTGTTTGCGGACTGTGGGAAACCCAAGCTCAATATCAGCCAAGCTTGCTTGATCAGATTGCCACGCACCAGCAACAGTGGTTCACTTACACCGCTGGGAAACAAGCTGAATACCTCAAAAAACTAGATTTGATGAAGGAAGAGCTGGATGACCAACTGAATGCGCTACAGGTGAAAACGGAAATCCAGCTTCAGGCGCTGCGGGAAGTTGCGGAGTCTCAAAAGGCAGTGGTTGAAGCGACACCTTTACAAAGGGAACCAGGCCCGCCGCCAACAAAGCTTTTTAAAAAGATCGGCAGTAGGTACTTCTACATTGGAAAAGATAGCAAGGTAACTTGGTTTGCTGCATCGGACGAATGTCGTCTAATCGGTGGTTACATCGCTACAATCAACGATCAGGAGGAGCTTAATGAAGTCAACCAGATATTCGGTTCGGATGCCTTTTGGCTGGACATCAACTCATTGCCCAAGACTGGCACGTTTCTTTCTAGTCGCACCGGCGAGAGAGCACCATTTTACAAATGGGGAGAAGGGCAACCGACTAAGAAGCATGAAAATGAATGTATATTTATACGCAATAAGAAAATGTACAGTGCAGATTGCTGGGCTGTAAACTATTTTATTTGTCAAAGTGAGCCATTAAACTAGATACTTTAATGATTGCGAAACGATACGAAGTATGTTTTATTCTTCCCTGCGTCGACTGCTAAATCTCGATTAACTACAACATCTACCTGGTTAGCACCCCTTCCTTCCCCACACTCCTTTACTATCCTAAATAGTTCACGTAGAGGGTCAAATGATCCTCCCTATTTAATTATTACGTAGTGGGATGGCAGATCCTCCCAGTCGAAGTTAATTGTCGTCGAACCCGTGAAATTTTCGGTCTAATCGAGTTATAATCGGAAGAGTCGAGAGCCTTCAATCTAAACATTTGCCCCTCTTTATTTTGGTGTCCCAAATTATTAACATAAGCTAACATATTAGTCATTTAAATAAAGCCCTCCGACTTATGGAAATGTAATAGTGATATGATTGTCAAAATTTCCCGTCTTCTTTTTGAAAAGTTTGTATTAGTCCATTTGGATATATCTAGCTGCAGCTGAATGCTTATATTTAATTGTGGATAATGTTTCGGTCATGCTTATTTTCACGATTTGCTTGCAAACTCGATCCGTTGCAGTTTATCGCTTATTTAAGAGCTGCAAATAACCGAAAAGCAGTTAGTTTCGTCGATTTGGTCTCACAGGTCTTACACACTAAATATGTTGAGGTGCTCCTATTTCTTATGGGTCTTCACTGTTTGCCGACTGTGGGGAAGCCAAGCCCAATTCCAGCCGATAATGACACAAAGCATACTGGATCATATTGCCTCGCACCAGCACCAGTGGTTCACGTACACAGCGCAGGTTCAAGGCGAAACTCAGGCAAAAATAGACAGAATGAAGGCAGAGCTAGCAGGCCAACTAAATGCGCTACAGGTGAAAACAGATAGCCAACACAAATCGCTCCAGGACACTGTGAAGGCTCGCAAAACACAAAAAACAAAAGTTTTCGAAAAGATTGGCTCGAGGTACTTCTACATTGAAAAGCAAGAACGATTAAATTGGTTTCAAGCATTTAACAAATGTCGCCGACTCGGTGGCTACTTGGCTACATTCAACGACCTGGAGGAACTACAAGCGGTCAGCGGGAAAGTCAGTCCAGGTGCATATTGGTTGGACGCCACCTCATTGGCCAAAAAAGGAGTTTTTCTTTCCACTCGCACCGGCGAGCGTCCACCATTCTTCAGATGGGCAGATAAGCGGCCGACCAAAAATGAAAACGAATGTGTGAATATGTACATGGGGAAAATGTGGAGTCCAAATTGTTGGGATGAATACCTCTTTATTTGTCAAAGTGATCAATGATTGCAATTGATTGAAAATCCTGGCTAATAGAAAACTTAAGATAAAATGTGAAATGTCAAAGTTTAAAAACTTATTCAAACAATGAAACTATGCTGAATAAATTCAAATGTCGATCTTTTAATTTAGGTCTTTTAATACAGAACAAAATACATTTTTTAGGGAAAATTTTTTTTAGATAAGTTCGGTATTTTTTCAGGTTTTTTATAACCTAATATGGGGTACTATATTTGGAAGTTTTCAATGCAGTGAAGGAGAAACTTCAGACCCCATAAAGTATATATGTATACTCTTGATCACCATCACGATCAAAATAACGAAAAACATCCTTGTTTTTATACCCTTGCAGAGCAAAGGGTATTATAATTTTGGCCAGAAGTTTGCAACGCAGTGAAGGAGACACCTCAGACCCCATAAAGTATATATATTCTTGATCAGCATCACGATCTGAGTCGAAATACGTCTGTACGTCTGTCCGTCTGTCCGTCTGTCCGTCTGTCTGTCTGTCCTCCTGTCCGTTTCTGCCTAAACTAGTCTCTCAGTTTTAAAGCTATCTTGCTGAAACTTTCCCAAAAGATGTGTAGTTATTGCACGCAGTATATAAGTCGGAACGAGCCGGATCGGCCGACTATATCGGATAGCTCCCATACAAGAGGTCAAAAAAATAAAGGATAAAAAATTATTACGCCGTTGTTTTTGATCAGATCGACTTGAATTCTTCAAGATGGCGTTTCCTAACGGTTATTAAATTTCGGATTAAATTTTATCAACATCGAATAACCCTATCATATAGCTGTCATAGGAAAGATCAAAAAATATATATAGAAATAATGGCAAAATAATCATAACGTTGTTGTTTTTTATTCCACGAGCATGATTTTTACAACATCGACTTTATGAACTACCCTTGAACCGAGAAAAAAATTTCATCAAAATCGGACGACTAAATCATATAGCTGCCATATAACCAAAAGTCGAAAATATGGAAAATTAATAGAAAAGTCGTCATAGCTTCGAGGTTGTTAGCCTTTATGTATTTTGTTCGATATGTTTGATGACTGCAAGGGTATATAAGCTTCGGCTTGCCGAAGCTAGCTTCCTTTCTTGTTTATCATACAAATATGATTTTTGAGAGAACGAGTTGGAACATCGACTCTTAAATTTGGGATAGGATTTTATAAAAATCGAAAAACTTTTTTATCGGTAAAAATATATAAAAATAATAGAACAATAGCCATTGCTTCGCTATTGATTAGCATTTATGCATTTTGCTCAAAATTATATAAAAAGTTTATAAGCTTCGGCTCGCCTAAGCTGCATTCTTTTCTTGATTGCAAACTAAATTAGTTGCAGTTGATCACATTTATCACGTCAAGATCTGAAAAAGACCGAGAAACAGTTAGTTGCGAAGATTGGGTCTCACAGGTGCTTTACGCTAAATATGCTGAGTTACTTCCACTTTTTATGGCTCTTCACTGTTTGCGGACTGTGGGGGAGCCAAGCTCAAAACCCGGAGGATTACAAACTTGATCAGATCGCCACGAGCCAACACCAGTGGTTCACAAAAACAGCGCAGAAGCATACTGAAATCCAGGCAAAATTAGACAAGCTAAAGGAAGAGATAGAAGGCCAAGTAAAGGCATTACAAATGAAGAGAGAAACCAAATTTCAGTCGCTTCGGGACGTTATGGAGCGTCAAATATTACAGGATCTCTACGATTTAAACCCGCTTTTCGAAAAGATTGGCTCGAGGTACTTCTATATTGAAAACCAGGATCGAGTAAATTGGTTTGCTGCATTTAACAAATGTCGCCGGATCGGTGGTCACCTGGCCACAATCAACGATGAGAAGGAACTGAAGGCACTGAACGAAAAAGTCACTTCAGGTGCATATTGGTTGGATATCAATGCATTGGGGGAAAAAGGAACCTTTCTTTCCACTCGCACCGGCGAGCGTCCACCATACTTCAAATGGGCCAAGGATCGACCGACCAACAGGAAAAATGAATGTGTAGAGTTGAACGCCGGGATAATGTACAGTCCAAGTTGTTTTGCAGAATCCTTTTTTATTTGCCAAAGTGAGCCATTAAGCTTAAAAATTTAATTGATTGCGATACGAACTATTTTTAAATTTGGCCCTTTATTTCTTGATTACGTTTGAAAACTCAGAGCCAACGTAGAAATAAAGCGGATAATGTCCAATTAATCAAATAATAAAAAGACCAAAAACCACGTCTCAGGAGGAATTTAATAGGGGGAGCTATAAAACAAATTGATTCTCAATGCATTTTTTAGATTGTTACAAAATCAATTTATGCAAATCATTTCAAATTATGTTTACTCAAATCAAAAAAAAAATGTATTTATCCACTTAGGGCACACTTAGAAAAAAACAAAGTCGAGTGTCGTCTAATCGGTGGTTACATCGCTACAATCAACGATCAGGAGGAGCTTAATGAAGTCAACCAGAGAGTCGGTTCGGATGCCTTTTGGCTGGACATCAACTCATTGCCCAAGACTGGCACGTTTCTTTCTAGTCGCACCGGGGAGAGAGCACCATTTTACAAATGGGGAGAAGGGCAACCGACTAAGAAGCATGAAAATGAATGTATATTTATACGCAATAAGAAAATGTACAGTGCAGATTGCTGGGCTGTAAATTATTTTATTTGTCAAAGTGAGCCATTAAACTAGATACTTTAATGATTGCGATACGATACGAAGTATGTTTTATTCTTCCCTGCGTCGACTGTTAAATCTCGAATAACTACAACATCTACCTGGTTAGCACCCCTTCCTTCCCCACACTCCTTTACTATCCTAAATAGTTCACGTAGAGGGTCAAATGATCCTCCCTATTTAATTATTACGTAGTGGGATGGCAGATCCTCCCAGTCGAAGTTAATTGTCGTCGAACCCGTGAAATTTTCGGTCTAATCGAGTTATAATCGGAAGAGTCGAGAGCCTTCAATCTAATCATTTGCCCCTCTTTATTTTGGTGTCCCAAATTATTAACATAAGCTAACATATTAGTCATTTAAATAAAGCCCTCCGACTTATGGAAATGTAATAGTGATATGATTGTCAAAACTTCCCGTCTTCTTTTTGAAAAGTTTGTATTAGTCCAATTGGATATACAGTGTCTAGCTGCAGCTGAAGAATTTCTTTTCTTTGAATGCTTTAATTGTGGATAATGGATTCAGGATTTACTTGCAAACTCGATCCGTTGCGGTTTATCGCTTATTTAAGAGCTGCAACTAACTGAAAATCAGTTAGTTACGAAGATTGGGTCTCACAGGTCTTACCTACTAAATATGCTGAGGTGCTCCTATTTCTTATGGGTCTTCACTGTTTGCCGACTGTGGGGAAGCCAAGCTCAATTCCAGCCGACAATAACACAAAGCATACTGGATCACATTGCCTCGCACCAACACCAGTGGTTCACGTACACAGCGCAGGTTCAAGGCGAAACTCAGGCAAAAATAGACAGAATGAAGGCAGAGCTAGCAGGCCAACTAAATGCGCTACAGGTGAAAACAGATAGCCAACACAAATCGCTCCAGGACACTGTGAAGTCTCGCAAAACAGAAATTGGGCACAGACCTATAAACCAGGTTTTCAAGAAGTATGGCTCGAGGTACTTCTACATTGAAAGGCAAGAAAGATTAAATTGGTTTCAGGCATTTAACAAATGTCGCCGACTCGGTGGCTACTTGGCTACATTCAACGACCTGGAGGAACTACAAAAGGTCAACAAGGATACCCCTATAGGTGCATTTTGGTTGGACGCCACCTCATTGGCCAAAAAAGGAGTTTTTCTTTCCACTCGCACCGGCGAGAGTCCACCATATTTCAGATGGGCAGATAAGCGGCCGACCAACAATGAAAACGAATGTGTGAATTTGTACGTGGGGAAAATGTGGAGTCCAAATTGTTGGGATGAATACCTCTCTATTTGTCAAAGTGATCAATGATTGCAATTGATTGAAAATCCTGGCTAATAGAAAACTTAAGATAAAATGTTAAATGTCAAAGTTTAAAAACTTATTCAAACAATGAAACTGTTCTGAATAAATTCAAATGTCGATCTTTTAATTTAGGTCTTTTAATACAGAACAAAATACATTTTTTAGGGAAAATTTTTTTTTAGATAAGTTCGGTATTTTTTCAGGTTTTTTATAACCTAATATGGGGTACTATATTTGGAAGTTTGCAATGCAGTGAAGGAGAAACTTCAGACCCCATCAAGTAAATGTATACAGTAGAATCCGCTTATAGCGACTTTCAAGGGACCGACGAGTTTTCGTAGCTATACCCGGAAGACGCACTAAGCAAAAGGATATAAGTGTATAAGTCTGTCTGGGGACGAATCAAGCCATCGAGTTTTCGTCGCAATACCCGGACGGACACTATAAGCGGAGTCGTTATAACAGGATTCTACTGTATGTATATTCTTGATCTCCATCACGATCAAAATAACGAAAAACATCCTTGTTTTTTATCATACAAATATGATTTCTGAGAGAACGAGTTGGAACATCGACTTTTAAATTTGGGATAGGATTTTATAAAAATCGAAAAACTTTTTTATCGGTAAAAATATATAAAAATAATAGAACAATAGCCATTGCTTCGATATTGATTAGCATTTATGCATTTTGCTCAAAATTATATAAAAAGTTTATAAGATTCGGCTCGCCTAAGCTGCATTCTTTTCTTGATTGCAAACTAAATTAGTTGCAGTTGATCACATTTATCACGTCAAGATCTGTAACAGACCGGGAAACAGTTAGTTGCGAAGATTGGGTCTCACAGGTCTTTTACGCTAAATATGCTGAGTTACTTCCACTTTTTATGGCTCTTCACTGTTTGCGGACTGTGGGGGAGCCAAGCTCAAAACCCGGAGGATTACAAACTTGATCAGATCGCCACGAGCCAACACCAGTGGTTCACAAAAACAGCGCAGAAGCATACTGAAATCCAGGCAAAATTAGACAAGCTAAAGGAAGAGATAGAAGGCCAAGTAAAGGCATTACAAATGAAGAGAGAAACCAAATTTCAGTCGCTTCGGGACGTTATGGAGCGTCAAATATTACAGGATCTCTACGATTTAAACCCGCTTTTCGAAAAGATTGGCTCGAGGTACTTCTATATTGAAAACCAGGATCGAGTAAATTGGTTTGCTGCATTTAACAAATGTCGCCGGATCGGTGGTCACCTGGCCACAATCAACGATGAGAAGGAACTGAAGGCACTGAACGAAAAAGTCACTTCAGGTGCATATTGGTTGGATATCAATGCATTGGGGGAAAAAGGAACCTTTCTTTCCACTCGCACCGGCGAGCGTCCACCATACTTCAAATGGGCAAAGGATCGACCGACCAACAGGAAAAATGAATGTGTAGAGTTGAACGCCGGGATAATGTACAGTCCAAGTTGTTTTGCAGAATCCTTTTTTATTTGCCAAAGTGAGCCATTAAGCTTAAAAATTTAATTGATTGCGATACGAACTATTTTTAAATTTGGCCCTTTATTTCTTGATTACGTTTGAAAACTCAGAGCCAACGTAGAAATAAAACGGATAATGTCCAATTAATCAAATAATAAAACATTTTGTTTTTGGTCTGAGGAGGAATTTAATAGGGGGAAAACTAGCAAATTGATTCTCAATGCATTTATTAGATTGTTAAAAAATCAATTTTGGCAAATCAAAAAAAAAAATCAAAAAAAAAGTATTTATCCACTTAGGGCACACTTAGAAAAAAACGAAGTCGATATTGACATCGATTGTTTCTGCGATCCTACATAATGTTTAACAAGTTGAACCAGTTTTTATGAAAAGCTTAAATATTTTTTTCTAATAACCAATTTCAACAATTTAATAATTATAATAAAATTATCTCCCTATACACACTTTATTATTTGCCCAGATCCTACAGCTTTGTCAGCTAAGACCTATTTTAGCTAAGTTAATTATTAATTATTATATACATACATTAATGATATTCAGTGGCGTAGCGTGCCTTGTCGGGGCCCCGTATAAAAAATTTTTTTGGGGGCCCTTATATGGAGGTAATGATTTTTCACAAAAGAAAACAAGTAAGGAAGCTAGCTTCGGCAAACCGAAGCTTTTATACCTTTGCAGTCATCAAATATGTCGAAAAAAATACATAACGGCTAAACAACATCGAAGCTAAGACGATTTTTCTATTCATTTTCTATATTTTCGACTATTGTTCAAATGACGGCTATATGATATACTCGTCCGATTTTGATGAAATTTAATTCGGTATTCAAGAGTCGTTAGAAAACTCTATATTCCAAAAATCATGGTTGTCTGACGAAAAACAACGATGTTACAATTTTATTTCCGTTATTTCTATATAGATTTTTCGATCTTTCCTATGGCAGCTATAAGATATAGTTGTCCGATTTTTATGAAACTTTTTTCTCAATATAAGAGTTTTTAAAAACTTGATATTCAAAAAATCATGCTTGTGGGATAAAAAACAAGGATGTTATCAATTTATTTCCATTAATTCTATATATATTTTTCGATCTTTCCTACGACAGCTATATGATAGAGCTATCCGATTTTGATCAAATTTAATCCGAAATTCAATAACAGTTCGAAAACGCCATCTTGAAGAAATCAAGTCGATCTGATCAAAAACAACGGCCTGAGAATTTTTTATTTCATTCTCTCGTATGGGAGCTATCCGATATAGTCGGCCGATCCGGCCCGTTTCGACTTATAGACTGCGTGCAATAACTACACACCTTTTGGGAAAGTTTCAGCAAGATAGCTTTAAAACTGAGAGACTAGTTTACATAGAAACAGACAGACGGACAGACGGACAGACGTACAGACGTATTCTGATTCTACTCGTGATGCTGATCAAGAATATATATACTTTATGGGGTCTGAGGTGTCTCCTTCACTGCGTTGCAAAATTCTGACTGAAATTATAATACCCTTTTGCTCTGCAAGGGTATAAAAAATATTGTGAGAAGAAATATTTATTTATCACATTATTTACCCATTTTACAAATAAAAATCAAATTTTAAATATTCCCTCTTACACACTTTGGGGGCCCCCTTGGCCCGGGGGCCCCGTATAATTGATACGGCATATACGGCGGTAGCTACGCCCCTGATAATATTTAACAAGAAAGGAAGCTAGCTTCGGCAAGCCGAAGCTGATATACCCTTGCAGTCATCAAACATATCAAACAAAATACATAAAGGCTAACAACATCGAAGCTATGACGACTTTTCTATTAATTTTCCATATTTTCGACTATTGTTCATATGGCAGCTATATGATCTAGTTGTCCGATTTTTATGAAATTTTTTTCTCGGTTCAAGGGTAGTTCATAAAGTCGATGTTGTAAAAATCATGCTCGTGGAATAAAAAACAACAACGTTATGATTATTTTGCCATTATTTCTATATATATTTTTTGATCTTTTCTATAGCAGCTATATGATAGGGTTATCCGATTTTGATAAAATTTAATCCGAAATTCAATAACAGTTAGAAAACGCCATCTTGAAGAATTCAAGTCGATCAGATCAAAAACAACGGCGTAATAATTTTTTATCCTTTATTTTTTTGACCTCTTGTATGGGAGCTATCCGATATAGTCGGCCGATCCGGCTCGTTCCGACTTATATACTGCGTGCAATAACTACACAACTTTTGGAAAAGTTTCAACACGATAGCTTTAAAACTGAGAGACTAGTTTACATAGAAACCGACAGGAGGACAGACGGACAGACGGACAGACGGACAGACGTACATACATATTTCGATTCAGATGGTGATGCTGATCAAGAATATATATACTTTATGGGGTCTGAGGTGTCTCCTTCACTGCGTTGCAAACTTCTGACTGAAATTATAATACCCTTTTGCTCTGCAAGGGTATAAAAATAAAGTAAATGGTATTGATTGTCCATGAAGTTTGTCGTGGCTAACTGTGGTCGGTGTATTCGCTATGTCAAGATAACGTCACGACTAACTGAGTATGTACTCGGTAGGTTGGGAGTTTGAATCAGCTTAGGAGGGTGTATCCGCTAAGTTCTATTTTTTGCCACACATTTTTTATACCTGCCTTTTCGAAATTTTGCAACACTAATCTCTAAATGACGCTTGAATTTTAGCGGAAACTCGAAAAGGAACACAAAAACCGCAGACGCCAGCCAGAATAAAAAGGTCAATACAGAGAAAATCAGGTCAAACTCAAACAACAAATCGAAGATGCCGCGCACCAAGATACCAAAGAACTCGAAGCGCAACCGCGAGGTGGCCAATCGCGAGGAGAAGGTTCGTTTGTACGAGCTGAAAATGGACTCCCGCTTAATCAGCATCGATTCGCTGGAGACCAAGTTCCTGGCCGCCGTCGATCTCCAGGTGAAAACGCTGCTGGGCCAGGTGCAGAAGGAGCTAGCCGACCTGAAGATGCCCGAGGTTCTGAGGCTCTTCGGGGAGCTGGACCGCTTCAGCGACTTCAAGGCCAGCGACCAGACGCAGCTGCTCGCCTCGATGTCGATGAGCAGCAGCGCAGTCGATGGACACGTTCCCACAACAGCCACCGCCAGCCGCAACGACGAAGGTTTGTCCACAGCCACTTAAGGATATTATATTAATATATTTGTCCATATTTTGTCTATAGTAGCAGCCCCCTTGAACAGCGGCTTACTTTCAAATTTTCTAATATGGCTGGAGAGACATTTCAACCTAAAACCTAGAAACCAACACTTTTTAAACTCTAATGGTCAGTGGCCTTTTGCAGAGTGTTTGGTAGAGTGCACATTAGTAAAACGAAAACAACTACTTAAAAACCTATATCTTTCCCCTTGTTCAGCCGAATTTATTAAAGTAATGTTTACTCTAGGCTTAAATGGGCTAATCAAATATCAGTTTAAAACCCGATTTATCGGGTTCTTTTCGATCCCCGAATCAATCGCAACAATATAGTTTTAGTTTACTACTTTTAATTTAACTCTTACTGGTGTCCGGCTTTGTGACTAACTCAACTTTGCTTTCTAACCCCGCATCGCACATTTCACTGAAAACATAAAACGCACCACCCAACAACGACATCCACATCCACGTCCTGTGCCGGTCACTCTATTTAGGCTACCTTACAGAGGACAGCAGCCTCGGAGCGAGCGGCGGCAGCATCCTGGCCGCCCACACGGGCTCCCTGTTGCGCTCTGCAAAGGCAATGCGAACGCCCGGACCACTGCATTCGGCCAGGGCTCGTAAAGCACGTCGCAGTCGATCCGCCTGCGGGGATCTGAATGTCCTGCACTCGGCCAAGCCGCCATCAATTTTGAGCAGCAGTGGGACAAGCAACAGTCGCAATTCGCGCAGCAAGATGCGCACACCGATGGCCTCGCGCGCCAAGGCCTTCAGTGCCGATCGCACACCGCTGGCCCAGAAGCAAATGCGCTCCGGATCGCCATCCTCGCCGCCAATGGCATTCCTGCGGTATCCCAAGCCCGGTGAAGTGGCCCTCTCCAAATTCGGCAGTCCCATGGTGGCCCAAGCGTGAGTTTTCCTTAAAAAAAAAAAAAACCATAAAAAACAACGCTTTAATTCTTTAACTTTTGTCCAATAGAATGCCCGACAAGTTCGCCAATGTGAACATACCCATCCGAAATGGAGTGCTTAGCTTGCGGCCCAAGAAACTGGATGCTGGCGAGGTCGAGTCGAATCTGCTGGAGAACCTGGACGAGGACACCCTGAACCAGATCAAAACGCTGCACGAGAACTTGCAGATGATCGTGAACAAGGCCAGCCAGGCGGGATTTAAATAGTTGCCAATTCAAACGCTTACGTAGATATAGTCCTATATCGTATATTTTAGTACGTTTTGTTTAAGTTCAGTTTTCATTTTACTCAACTAGTTCAAGTATTTTTTCTCCATTATAAAAATCTGTATCGTATTTACATAAGTCTCCATACATGTTCATGTTTCGTGTTCATCCAAGTCTTCATGGATACGAAAGTAATTTTTAAATACAACGTTGAAAGAAAAAAGAGGTCGCTCTATGATTGTAACACGTCTTCAAATAAAACGCTATGGAGAATGCCAATGAGATAACTACAATTTTTATGCAGGATGATGTGGACTTCAAATTGAATTCGATCCGAGCCCAGAACTGAAACACAACGGTTGCAAACGAATTGTCAGATGCTTTAAGTGACTTATATTATTTATCTGCGTTTTTTACTAGCAAAGAATTTGATTTATCAACAAGAAATACAAAATAATTTTCTAATGATGCAGTTTGTTATAGAATTGAAATAGAAACAATTATAAATATGCCACTTCAAAATCTGATTAAAATAAAAAGGTTATTTTCAATTTTCAGCAAACGCATTTTTTGGTTATTTGTGCTCGTATGATAACTTTCTGTGTTGTTTTTTTTATTTATAAATATAAAAAAGGTGTTTCTTATTGCTTTCATCCAAGATACCTGGGAGTTTGTTGAAATTGTATCACAGATACAATTGGAGCTGACAATTATTAATATAAATAGAAATATGCCCCGAACGAGGATAGCTCTTCGTCAGGCTCAGCGGCAGAAGGCTGAACGCGAAGAGAAACTACGCCAGGCCCAAATCAAGATGGATTCCGCTCTGGAGCAGATCGATGAGATGGCCAAGCGGTACAAGCAGGAGGTGGACAACCAGCTTAAGTTGATCCGTGGAAGCACCGACAAGCAGCTGCTGCAAATGAAACTGTCCGAATTCGCAGCTTTAAAAATTAAGAGTTTCGCTGACCATAAATGGACAGGTGAGATCAATCGATAGATTTCCTATATTAAATCATATGATATATCAGAAGCTATGCTTCTGATTTTTTGCTGAAATCTTTTTTAGGTAACCAAAATAAGAAGAAGTAATTTTTGTTAAGCTATTTTATGATCAATTAGAAATGGTTTAACTGAGGATTTAAAAATTATAATTTATTTGAACTATATGAATATACTGAAAAGAGTTTTTATTAAAACCAATTTTGGTTTGGTGGATTTATGTAGCCTATAAATACTAGTAATGAGATTTCTTAGTTCCCAAGCCGCCATCATCTCGCAGTCTTTCAATCAGCCACCAGCGCGGACGAACCCAGACTCCCAAGAATTCGCAACTGCCTCGTCTGCAGGTTCAATCGGTGGACAGGGCACTTCGAGGCGACACCATGAGCTTTGTGCGATGGCCAAGAGTCGGGGAACTGGTCCTCTCGAAGGCTGGAAGCCCGCTGGCCGTTCAAATGCAACCGGATCGATGTGCCGACGTTCACATTCCCACGAAAAGGGGTGTGATTACAGTAAAGCCCCACAAGATCAACACTGTGAAGCGGGAAGTACTGATGCAATTGGATGAAAACACCCTCAATCAAGTGAAGACTCTGAATGCCAATCTCGGACTTATAGTCGATATGGCCACCAAGCTGGGCAGACTAAACCCTTAAAAACAACACCAACAAAAAAAAAAAGATTAAGGGCCTTCAAAATTATTACGCTTATTTCGTTAATATTTTATTTAGTCTTTTTCATTTTCTCATTTTCAATGTTTTTGTTCAGTTGTTAAACATTAAGTGAACGTGTCTGTTGTTCTTGTTGCTGTTTTGCTGCAGTTTGCTTGCTTTTTGTTGTATAATTAATTAATAAATTTAATTACCTTTATGTATATATATATATATCGATCGATTTGTTAGTACAAACATAGAGTACAGAATTTTGCCTCCACTAATTTCAAATTGAATTGTTTAAACATTTTTCTATGGTGTTGCGTGTGTGTATAAGTTGTCTGTGTTTGTGGGTGAACCTTCTCAATTAATTTTTCAATTACTTAAATTAAAGTATATTGGGTTTTATTAAAAAAGTAAATTCAATTAAAACTTCATTTGTTTTATCCCATTTTTTTTCTTCACTTTCAATTATGTGAATCCTTAGACAAAAGTTACATTTACACATATACACTTTTAATTTAAAAATTATCGTTAATTTTTAGTGTTTAGTGTTAGATTTAGCATTTGTTTTCTTGGTTTGAGTGAGTGGGTGTTTGGCGTGTCATATGTGTTTATATAGTTACAGTTACATAAAAATACAATACATAGCAAAAGGTACATATATAGAGACTTAAAATACGCTTCTTTTTACTGAATTATTAAATATGATTTTAGGGACAAAGACAACATATGAGGACAATCAATCGATACAGTAAACAGTGACAGTGAACGAACAGTGACAGATGACAACAACATAACACTCAGATTTTTAACACTTATTATGTTTCGGTTAAGTTTTGTGTGGTGAGTCGGTATTGATAGTTTTCGTAAAACGAATAATTAATTAATAAATAGGGTAGAGTGCATTAAACAGTCGCATCAACCCAAAAAACCAGCGATAAACGAGTATAATCTAATCAAAATGCTCATGATAAATATCAAACAATTTTTCCGTTTACTTAAGTACAGTCTTCCCTCGAAATCACGATATCGTAGCATAGCCAAAACCCAACACATACTATACTCCTTTAAAGATTGGATAATATGCCCATTAAAGCGTAAAAAAATCGTTGATGACTAAACATAAAATGCATATGTGTGCAATTTGAACTGAAGTTGCCTGCTCTTAATGATCTGATCCCTTTCCGTAAATTCAGCATAGGTCCAAACGCCTACCAACCTAGTTAAATATCGGTTTTTCGGTTCCTACGAGCGTTCCCTGAACGCAACTAACTCTACGCTAGCCTCGACTAACCATTTCAAACTTGACTTCTACTTGAAAAATGTTTTCAGTTCCGAATCAATCGGAGTTCGTCGTACGTTTTCCGGTCTTCCAACTCATCTTTTCCTTTTTTTTGTAACACAGCCAATCAATCAACGATGCCTTTATCCATCCAACCAATCTATTCGATCCGCCTTTTTTGTTCGCAGACTGAAAAAAAAATAATTTAAACATTGAGTAGTTGTGTTCCATATTCGGCGTACGATTTGTATGTTATATTGCTCTCGGTTTTGTTAATTTGTTTGTGGATCTATTTTGCGTTCGTATAAATTTCTACTTGGTTTTATACAAAATTGTGCTATTTTTTTTTTGCTATTTTATTTAAATCTATTTTTGAGGCTGTTGTTTTAGAATTCGTTATAACTTTTAAATGCTAGTTTATATATTACTTTTGTATTCTTATGTTTGGGCACTACTCATTGCGGTTCAGGGCATCTTTTTGTATTTCGTAAATAGTATTTTATTTGTAATATCAAGTTTAACAAATCTTTGTAGGCTTTATGCACGGGTACAGGGCGTTGCATTATTTGTTTGGTTATTCTCTTTCCATCCTCGGCTAATATCTTAAATCTTCAGTGTGTGATTTGGTACAAATTTTATGGTACTAGGTTGCATATAATTTAAATAAATTCACTTGTGAAACGATGACTGTACAGTTTGAACAAAGAAGTACGCTTTAGTTGCTAGTCAGATCCGGATTATAAAATGTGTCTAACGAAACCAATTCGTCCTCCGACGATCGAAATCATTATCTTTGATTCGAAAAAGCTTAGATCGAGAGCTGGTATGAAACAGGTTTAGTTTTATTAGTAAACTCTAAGATGCTTTGTTTGTATATACAAAAACGTACATATGCGAAACTGGATCCATTAAACGTGCCTGATAACAGAACGACTTACCAAATCAAGTATGCACTTTAGTAGGTATTCTTATCAAAATTAAGTCCGCTTTGCTTTTACGTAAATACTATACTTTGCCATAGAATTAGTTAGCTTTATGTGTGTTGTTAGGGTATTTCCTTATATTCTCCATGAAGTTTATACCGTTTGTAAATATTTGTTTATTTTAAATATATTCGAAATAATCCCCTATATTTCGTAATGCTTATAAATTAATTAATTTCATTAAATGCTTAAATTCATTAATGCACTTTATATGTACTTTTTGTGTTGCTGTGTGTGAAATTTTGCTATATCCTTATTCCGTATAAATATATATATATTTTTATGAATTGGTATATATGAATAACTGGCATTAAAACTATTATATAGGTGTATATATAATGCTAAATGCAGTATACTTGTGTATATTCATTTGTTATACTTATACTTTCCTGGTTTGAGGTTTTGTCAGTATAAAAAACTATGGGGAGAGCTGAAGGCCGAAAACTGGCCGTCTTTTTCATTTTTTGCTTTTTAATTTAATTGCATTAAATGTAGCCTCTTAAAGAACAACTCAATCCTAAGCTATTTATTTAAGTGTGGAAATTGTAATTTAGCTAGCAGCGTCAAAAAATTATTTTCTTTGAGGATTTTGAAGTAATTTTATGTGAAACACTTGCAATCTATTTACAATTCATGTTAGTGGTCTTACTATATTTTTAATTTTAATGTTTAATCGGTTACGTTCAATATTTTTTATAAATTTGTATTTTATCATACGTTTTTTGAACTTAACGAGAGGTATTTCTATTTTCCCAAGTGTTAATATCGCCATTTTCATCAATTATTTATTCCATTTATTCGTGTTGCTTGTCGTTGTTTTGGGGGCCTTGTTTCAGTATTATAATTTGTTAAAAAAAAAACTCAGAAAGTCTTAAATAAAGAAAACATTAAAGGGTTAATATATTGTATATAAATTTTTATTTAGGGCTTTGCGGTTTAAACAGTATTTTAATAAAATTATACACTAATTTTATATCAATAATATTTGTATAGCATTTGTATTTCTTATTTAAAATAATATTTATAACGATTGAACCCAACTTAATAGACTTAAAAGATTTAAACAAAATCAAAAATCAATAAAAAATTACATAATAAAAAACGTAAAACGTTCTTGCAAAACTTCCTCGAAAGTGTTTCGAATTAAACGTATATGTATACATGCCAATGTTTTATATTTAATGTGTAATAGTTAATATAAAAATGGTTAAAATTACATATTAGTTTAAACAAAACCTGTAAAATAGCCTTCACATGAAATTGCAACGCCAACTTTGCTTTGCGCGCTTTGCTTTCTCGCTTTGATATAAAAGTATTTAAGAATAATTACAATAAATTTAAACGAGCATTAACTAAATTACAAAATATAATTTTTAGACGGCGCAACTTAGTGAAATTGTTTTGTGAAAATATGTACAGTTAGAGGGATAGTTTCAATAATCGTAGTTGAAGAGAAATGTTTTGTTTGGATAAAAAATGGTAATTTAAAAGAAAGCAATGTTCGAAGAAGCTTAAAAATGTTTAGGAAGGTAAACGAAAAGCAAAGCCTTTGGGAGTCGAGGTCCTCGTGCTTTTGCAGCAACAAATTAGCAACATTTAGTATATAAAGTTTAACAAATTATCACACTGAACAAAATTCAACACTACTTTTAAATATACATTACCCTTACGTACACGAAATACGCAAGCAAGTTTGTGTTTTTTGTGTGTTACGTGTTACATGTTACATGTTACATGACTTCCCCTTTTCGAATTGTATACATTATATATTATCGCTTGTCATTAAATCTATATCTTAGCCAACTGCTGCCGCTGCCAACGCCTCGCCAAATGTTATACAATAGCAATGTTAATGTTTGTTTTAAATATACATATATCAATTTAACAACACCTCGAAACGGTCAGCACTTAACGCGTAATTATTTATGCTTTGCTTTGTTTCTGTTTTCTTTCTTTTTTGTATATATAGCTCTTATAACTAGGCTTTACTGTTAAACGTAATAAATATGCATTTCTTGTATCGTTTTTCTTGAAGTTGGTTTGTTTTTGTTATTTTTTTTTTTTTTTTTGTGTTTTGCGTTTTTGAAAATATTTAACTATAGCTTGTGTCTGTTAATTATGTTTTCGCAATTTCTTTTAGACGAGGTTCCCATTTTGCTTTACAATTAATATTTGCTAGTATTATAAAATAAATATATTTAGGTATATATTTTTTAAATAGTGCTGCTAATATTTTTAATTAGATTTACATGCATCCCGCCTTTCGTCCTTTGATTTCCTATTGTTTTTCTTTTTGTGTGTGTTTGTGTGTTTTTCCCCCATTTATTTAGAGCCATAAATGCGTGCGCAAGATAAGTTTGGTTGAATGTGATCCGTGGTTTTGGCATTTTGGCCACCTTAGGGTCACCTCGTAGCGCTGCTGGTGAAGAAGTCCGCTGTGGAATAAATTAATTAAATAATTTATAATGATTCAGATATACTGATAGGACATACTATATACTTACGTGTCTCGAAACTGAAGCCCAGCGTTGGATCTGGTGGCGTGTTGAGCATGGAATTGCCGACATTGCCGCTGCCCGTTGGCGTTACATTGCCCATTGTGTTTGTGCTATTGGCCCCGCCCACAATGCCACCACCGCCGCCTCCGATCACCGAACCCTGCTGCAGCGGACTCTGCGGCGTCTGTCCCCGCTGTGCCACGCCCCCGCCGCCTCCGGCTCCGCCCGTGGCCGCCGCCGCCGCCTGCTGAGCCCGCACACTGACCACCGCTCGCAGCTCCTGCTTGACGAACTCCGAATTGGCACTGCCACCGGACACTCCTCCAGCTGGAAAAGAATTCAAAACGGAACGAGATAAGTAATCAGGTTTGGGTCACCAAAAACAGGATTATATACGGTTTAGTCACATTGGTTTCGGCTCAAGTCTAGACATAAAACATAAAGTAAATACAAAACATACACAATAAAGTACAACATGGAACACAAGGGTTGAGGCACACTAAAGATCGGGGATCGGGAGACAATTTAGCCAGGTGGGTATCGAAAAACATAAGTTCCTATAACATTTACCAATTAATTGTATTTTCAAAACAAAGGTTTCTAGCTCTCCATTATAAATATATTTTTTTTTAAATATTTCTTTCTTTTTTCAACTAGGGTCTTGGTTTTCATACTTTTTTTCTTAAGACTAAAGAGGATTTTTGGGTACACCAAGTGTTTATTTATTTTTGTGGGGGTGCAGCGCCTGTATGCTAGATATTATTTACAGCTCAACCGACTTGACTTATTGGGAATAGGTTAATTACAATGATTTTACAAATATATATACGCTTATGTGTGGGTTAGGGGTGTGGATATGTGTGTGGCTGCCAGCTTAGATGTACATATAGTTTTGTTTTTTTTTTTAAATATATTTACAGAATGCTCCCAAAAATGTTGACTTGCTTTACAATGCGTGGCAATGGATTATACAGCCATACAATATATAGTATATATACACAGAATTCAAGGCGGGGTGATTTATACAGCGATCGCGTGATAATTTTATAGATGAGATTTTGATTTTGAGTTTTGAATTTGAGTTTGAGAGAGAGTAGAGAAGCACACAGGCTTACCGGTCTGCGCCCGACCATAGAAATCATTCGCCTGCTGCGATTGCTGCCCGTAGCCGCCGAGGGTGGCACCGCCATAGCTGCCGCCCCCGCCGCCGCCGCCAAGGCCAATGATCCCGTTGCCGCCGCCACTGCCCATCCCGCCCACGCCCATCATCGCCGGATGGGGATGCGGATGTGGCGACATGCTCAGCCCGTTCATCAGCTGTTGCTGCTGCTGATGTTGCTGCTGCTGCTGCTGTTGCTGCTGTTGCTGTTGCTGCTGCTGGTTGCCGGCGGCAGCGGAGCTATCTGTGTTGTTGTTGCTGCTGACCGGCGAGGAGCCAAAGCGTGGCGAGCCTGTTTTGGTTAAGCGGTTTTGGTTGGTTTCGTTTGGCTTTGATTAAAACTAGTTCAGATTATCAGGTGGTCTCTTTTTGTATGTGGTATGTGTGAGTAGTGTGTGTGTGTGGTGTGTGTTTTGTGTGTGTGTTTAAAGCTGTCTAGGTATGTTGTTTGATGTTTAGTATGTGGATTAAGGGGTGCTTAAATCACAACTACAATTGTATTCATTTGAAAGGCAATCTCTAAGCTAAATGAACTTCCCTCTTCGATTGCTCCTAAAATTGGTTTCTCTTCTGTGAGATTGAGTAAACTAAACTCCTAATTATTCAGCTGAGAATAATGCTCATCCAGTTGGTTGAGCAACTGCCAAAAGGTGCTCCTTCTTACCTGGCAGATGTTGCGTAGCCTGTGGCACGCTGCCCTGTCGCTGCAGACGCTGCAACTGTTGCTGCTGGAAAACGTTGACATTGCTGCCGTACGGCGACTGCGGTCCACCGAAACCCACGCCGGAACCATCGGGCGTTGTGGCACCGCCGCCGCCGCCTTGTCCCTGGAAGGAGTTCTGCCGCTGGAGCGCCGCCGCCACCGGATTGCCGCCGGGTCCAACGGCTCCCGGGGAATTGAGGCCGCGTCTCTGGTTCTGTTGGTATTGACGCGCATTGTACGGACTCACGCCCTGCATGGCGGCCATAAGAAGAGTGTTAATCGATCTGCTTTCTATCGTTTTAAATCCTCAAACACTCACCTGCAGCTGTGCAATGAGCATGGGATTGTGTTGCTGCAGCGTTCGGCCGGCATTTCCCGCTGGCAATGGACCACCTGGGCCACCGCCTCCGCCGCCGCCAGCTCCCCACTGCTGCGGACTGTTCTGCATGCCGGGAGATTGCATGCCCGAGTTGGAACCGAAAGGAGTGTTGGAGCGACCGCCGTCGCCCACCTGTTGCTGCTGCTGCTGCTGCTGCTGCTGGTAGGCCAACTGCTGCTGCTGCTGCGCGTTGTTCTGCTGCTGCTGGCTGAGCTGCTGCTGTTGCTGCGGGGAGAGACGTTGGCCGGGTTGCGGGAACTGAGGAGCATAGCCTGGGAAATCATATTTATTTATTAGTAATTCATTTCGTTATATTTTGTAAAGGGAATTAACCTTGATTGGGCTGCGGACTGTAGGGCGTGCTGCGACCGGGACTCAGTTGCTGCTGCATCAGGCTCTGAGCAAAGTTCGGACTCAGCTGCGCGTCCGATGGAAGGTTCGTGCGGGATAGGGACACATTTGGAGCCACCGTCGTGTTCAGCAGCGAGCCAATGTTGTTCAGGCCTGCGTTCATGCCAGCTAAAATGAAAAGATACAAATATATATGTAAATAATATATAATAATATAAATAAAAGTGTTATATATAAAAATACAACAGACCATAAAATGTAAATCGTGATCAAATTCAGACAAAATAACAAGGATATAGTAAACAATTTAACAAAAACAAAAATAATTGTAGTTAGATTTCTTCCTATCTGTGAGTTCATTCGAATTATAAGAAAAGGTATTTGAATGTTAAGTTCTTATCATAAATAATCAAAAAATGTTATATTATAAAAAGAATATATCATAAAAAGAATATATTATAAAATTAATATATTAATTGTAGGAAAATGTTGTTCCACTGATAATAACTTTGCATAGTTTGATGTTTGATTTGCGAATTAATGAATTTGAAAAGTCTTTAGTCATTAGTTTAACGATTTCTCTTGGTAAGATAACTTTTGCTTTCTAATTTCTAAATGGGAAAGACAACACTTCCTGCTACTCACTGGCATTCTCCGGGACGAGCAGCTGCTGCTTCTGCTGCTGCTGCAGCAGGCGTTCCTTCTGCTGCGCGGCCGCCAGTTGCTGCTGCTGGCGCATGTTGCGCAGCTGCTGCTGGGCGGGCAGCACGACGCCGCCGGGCGTGGCCACCGCGTTCATGGGTCCGCGTCCGCGGGCGGGATACATGGGCGGCGGGCGCTGGAAGCCCTGATTGCCCAACGAGCGCATCGTCTCCAAGCGCTGCATGATGTGCTGCTGGTTCTGCTGCTGCTGCTGCTGTTGGTGTTGCTGCTGCAGGTTGAGCATGCCCGGATAGGCGGGCGGCTGTTGCAGGTGCTGCTGTCGCTGTTGCTGCTGCTGCTGCTGGTGCTGCTGCTGGGCAACCTGCAACGCCAGCAGTTGCTGCTGCTGGTTCTGCTGATGCTGCTGCTGCTGCTGCTGGCTCATCATGTTGAGGTGTTGGTTCAGATCGTTGCCAAAGGCGGCCGACTCGACGTCCAGCATCAGCGACTTTTGAATATCGTTGATGGCCGACGCTTCAGAGGGAGCACTGGTAACGATGGGAGCATCATCCGGATAGTATTCCATCACGCTGTCCAGCAGCTTGGACAGCTCCGAATCGCCGTCGCCGAGCATGGCAGCCGCTGCTGCTGCCGCCGCTGCAGACGCCGCAGCCGAAGTGGAGGCCGCTGTGGTAATTGAGGTAGTTGCTGTGGTCGCCAGTTGCTGTTGCTGGTGCTGCTGGAAGGCCAGCTGCGGCGGCTGTAGTTGCTGCTGCTGCTGTTGCTGCTGCTGCTGTTGGCTGAGGTAGACATCGTTTGGCTGCTGCTGCTGCTGGGAAGGAATGCCGGTGGCCTGTTGCTGCTGCTGCTGTTGCTGCTGCTGCTGCTGCTGCTGCTGCTTTCGGTTGCGATTGGCGGCCGCTTTGGGTCCTGTGCTGCCAGCGCTTATGAGGTTGCCCGGAGCGGCCAGCGTACTGCTCACCGTGGAACTGGTGATGTCCGGCAGCGTCTTCACCTGCAGCGGCTGCTCGGGATTGGGTGCTTTGGGTATCTTTGGCGGATTCTGCAGCAGCTTGGCCAACATCTTGTTCTGCGTGCACAGTTTGCTCGGCTTGTCCTCGGATCTCTTGGCGGACGGATCGTCGTCGGGCTCGTTCAGTGATCGCTTCCGACTGAGCGGATCGCTTTGGATCTTCAGCATGGCCTTCAGATCCTCGGTGCTCATGTTCCCGCTGGCACTACCGCGATGCATTCCGTGGTTGCCCCCGTCGGGGTTCTTCAGCTGGCGCATCAGCTCGCTCTGGCGGGAGTTGTTCATGGATCCCGGTCCGCCGCCCGATCCGTTGCCGTCATCATCCTCGGACTTCTCGTTCAACAGCTGCAATTGATGAGGTATTTAGCTAGGGTTTACTTTTGGGTAATAGATTTATAACCACTAACCTTGAGCAGCATGGGATTCTGCGAATTGCCCGCCTTGTGCAGCATGGAGTTGCCCACTCCCCGTCCCATGGATCCCATGGGTCCAAACATTCCCAGGCCTCCTGGCTGGCCACCCATTTTAAAGCTGCCGCCGGCGAGCTTCTCCTCATCACTGCCCTCCGGTTTGAAGTACTGAAAAATATAAAATATTGATCAAATAAGAGGTGTATATTTAAGTAATCAACCTGCCTTAAGACCCTCAGTGAAATATTAAATTCAAATATATTTTAAATTAAACGGAACATAATCATAAATTCTTATGAGAAATTATATTCTTTAACTCCTTGGATTTTATTATATTTTTTTTTTTTTTCTATGTTTTTTATGTGACTGTGTAACTTACCTTCTCGTCATCGCCCAATCCTCCCAAGCTGCCGGCCAAGCTCTGCGACTTGGTGAGCAGGTGTCGCAGTCGCTCCGAGGATTCCTGTTGCTGCTGCTGCTGCTGTTGCGGCGGCGTCTGCTGCTGCTGTTGTTGCTGCTGCTGGGAGAGCAGCAGTCCACCCACTCCGTTTGGCAGACCCCCACCCAATAAGGGATTACTGCTGCCACTCCCACTATTGTTGCTTCCCTGCTGCTGCTGACTTTGCTGCTGCTGCTGGACATCCTTCTCGATCTTCACGTCGCTCGCCTCGAAGGAGTGGAAGTTGAAGCCGTAGTTGCCGCCGCCGGCACTGGCATTCGACTGCGGCGAGGGCAAACTGGCGGCGGAGTGCGAGGAGAGCTGATAGGGCGTGGCGGGGGAGGCGCACACCGCCGGACTGAATCCATGACCCGACGGAGGACGCGGCGTGCTGACGGGCGTGGCCACCGAAGCCCGCGAATTCGGCCGGGAATCCGTCCAGGGTCCCACGCCACCGCTGGGATCCATGTCGAATGAGGAATGTGCTGCGATATCGAACTCAAAGGAGTCGCTCACATAGAAGCCGTGCTCCGCGGCCGCCGGCGATGCGGTGAACGCATTCACCAGCGCATTCGCCGACGAACTGGCCGACGAACTGGCTCCGGATCGCTGTTGCTGCTGCTGCTGCTGCGACTGCAACCCGCTGCCGTTGATGATTGCACTGCTCATCAGCGGACCACCGACACTGGTGGTCTGTGTGCTGTTGCCGCCGCCGCCCTGCTGGCCACCGCCCACCAGTCCGCCCAGCAGATGGGTGGGCAGCATGCCCGACGTCGCCGGCGAGGAGGAGGAACCCGATCCCGAGCCATTGCCGCCGTGCAGCCCGTCCATGGAGAGGCTGCTGAGCAGGGAACTGGCGAGCGAGGGACTCGGCGCCATCGCACACAGCTGACCCAATCCCAATCCCGCCACGGAGTTGCCCGCGCCCGTGTTGTTGCTGTTCATGTCGTTCTCCGAGTTGAGCAGCGTCTGCACGGAGATGATGAAGTCGCCCTCGCCGGGCGTCTGGTTGAGGAACAGTCTCGAGTTGGCCTTCACATGCACATAGACATCCGGGGCACCCAATCGCAGGCGAAAGGGACGCGAAACCACACTGCTGCCGGCACCAGCTCCCGGGGAATTGGCGCTGGCCGAGTCCTGGATGTCGCGCAGATGCGACTTGAGCGTGGAGAGGTCGTGCGGATGGCAGAGATCCTGCCAGAGGCGACCCACCCACGTCTGCAGGTGCTGCTTGAACGGCTCCCGCAGAGCCGTCGGATCCAGGGTGAGTATTTTGCCATGGATGTCCAGCTTGAAGGTCATCTGCTCGATCGGCTGCTGCTGCACGTGCTGCTGAATGTTGATCTCCAGCGGGGATTCGTCCTCGGGTCGCGTGATCAAGCAAAGCACAGAGCTACTGGCATCTGCATCATCTGAAAATGATATAGATTGTATTACAATATGTTCCAAATAGATTTAAGTAAGATCTGTAGGTATTTTATCTGTGATAAATGGTTTCTCAACCTACAGATCTTCCTCTCCCTTAAATGAATCCTTACCCTTGACTGGAGCCGCTATGAGCACCACCTCCTCGTACTTGTCCTGGTGACCAGCCTGCCTCAGTGGCTTCTCCTCGCAGTTCGACGACGTTTGGGTGGCGGTTCGCGTGTCCTTGACTAGCATGCGCACCTTGGTGGAGATGCTGCGCTTCTTGCCCGCTCCCCCAGCACCACCCGCACCACCACCTGCACCACCGCCAGAGCTGGAATTGGAACCCGCCGACTGCTGGGAGGCATTGCCGTTGTTCAGCTCCTCGAGATCGCCCCAAACGCCGGCGGAAGCCGCATTGCTGGTGGAGCCAGAGTTGTTGCTGCCACCTCCTCCTCCTCCTCCTCCTCCGTTGGGATTGCTGTTGCTGTTGTTGTTGCTGTTGCTGTTGCTGCTGCTGCTGTTGCTGCTGTACATGTTGCTGATGATCGGCTCTAGCTTGGCGTGGTCCCCCGCATAGAGGTACATGCAGAGCGGCTGGTGGTACAGCTCCTGCTTCTCATAGCCGATCAGCTCGCGGATGTTCTGCGTGCAGGACTCAATGATGCCGTTGGCGTTCACCTGCAGCAGCACCCAGCCAACGCTCGTAATGTAGTGTTCGAGGGCCTCGAAGTAGGCCGATATCTCCGGCACTTGACCCAAAAGCAGCGAGGGCTCCGGATGCGGTGGCTCCGTGGAGGAGACCTCGCCCTGTTGCACCGGATGGATCGAGCAGTTGTCCGTGGCACAGCGGCTGCAGCGCGTTGAGGTTGCTTGCGGTTTGCTGGTGTTGTTGTTGTTGTTATTGTTGCTACTACTGTTGTTGTTGTTATTGTTGCTGTTCGTGTTGTTGTTGTTGGTCGTTGTCGTCGAATTGTTGTTGTTGTTGTTATTGTTGTTCGTCGACGTTGAGGATATATCACGATTTTGGCCCTTGTCACAAATCTCACGGTACTGCAAAAGGAAGATTATTTAAGAAGTGAGTTTATTAAACAATTTAATACAGGAAAATTAAGATGTATGTATGGATATAGATAATTCATTAAGCAATTAAATTAAATGTATTATAAATGTTTTAATAGAAATTTGGAAAATGTTTAATGTGGTATAGTAAACAATAAAATTGTTGTAGATGCTGCAGCAATAGTTAAGGTTTGTATACATTTTAAACCATTAAAATGTGTGGAATAATAAGCAAATAAGCTTAAGACGAGCCGGAATTGATTACTATTACTATTTTTTAGCAAACGTTTAAAATAAATCAATTCAAATTCAAGTGTCACAAGTTGAACTACGTTAAAGAGTATTTAAGATTTTAAATCACAACTGCTTATAAAGAGTTTAAATAAATTTCTCTAGACAGAAAACCCATTCGTTGTTCAGCAATAAGCTTTTACCACTTCATAAATTCTTCAAATTTTGTTTTCATTTATAATAACTGGTTTATATTCCATTAGTACATATGGGTGGTACCCATTTCTTTTAAAATAATTTCCATACAAAAGGTCTCAAGTCTACAGGGATTTCTTTGGCCATTGGGAAAACCTCCCTTATCTCGAAATTGAAATTTAAAAGTATATCACTGGACTTGAGCTGCCCTGCATATACAATTCACTTTGTGACAAGCCTTATAAAGACTCATAATCATCGCCGACTCAGATCGGATCTGTGAGATCTGGCGAATATAAAAACTTCATTCATATCGCGCCCACTTTATCGGCCACATTATTTATTTGGCGATGATGCGGAAGCATCGCGTGCAAAAACTCATGCATATTATGACACACAGCCAGCAATAATAATAATTATAGCACGAAGATCGGCACACTTTGTGTGGAGTAGTAAATAAGACAGAAAGAGAGGGAAGAACACTGAACACTGGGCATTTATTGTATTATTGTATTGACACAATGGAAGTGCAATAAACCGCATTTTATAACACGCGTTTGTTTGTGTGCGGGGATTCTATGTTTGTGTTATTTTTACGCGCGCGTTTGAAAAAAAAGAGTCATTGACATTTGGCGAAAAACACGCGAAAAGCCCTCGTCATATTCAAATATTATTGTTTTTGTTAGGATTTCGTTTTCATAAGGATTTCCACTGGCACCCGCACTTCCAGCTCCTCCCACTTTCTCTCCTTCGCTCGCCTGGAATTGTTTCGCTCTCACACACATGGGAATTCAAGGTCAGTCAACTTCAACTTCGCGTGGACAAATGTCAATGGCATTTCACTTTTGTTTTGGTTTGCCGCAGCTCTGGTTTCGCATTTGTTTTTTCGGTTATTTTCTGGCTTATCTGAGCCTAGTTCTGCGTATTGACTCACTTCTGGCCAAAATGTGGAAATTACTCACGAAAAAATCACAGAAAACCGAGTTAAACAGAACACAGAACGTTCGCACAGTCACAAAGTTGCCGAAATAATAAGCACACATTTTTTGAATGCAATTGTGTTAAAAAACGCACAACAACAAAAACGGACAACAACAATGGCAACACAAAACTTTGCTCTCTTTCTGCCAAAAAAAGAAGCTTTACTCTCTCTGGCTTTCTCTCTTCCAGTTTTGTTTACCGGCTTGTGTGGCGCGAGTGTGTGTGTTATCACATTGTGCACCTGTTTTGTGTCTTAGTATGTGTGGGAGGGAACACGAAATTTCTCAAGGAGCAACAACAATTAAGCTGAATATAGAATGAAACGCAATGCTGCCAATCGCAACTATGTGAAATTGCAAATAGCTGCGACGTCATCGGTCCAAAAGCATTATTTCAAAGCAGTTCGTTGATCTCCGAAAAATGCGAGAGAGACAGTGAGAGAGCTTTTGTTGTTTGGAAGGAATCTCTTTTTGCGTTTGTGTGCGTGACCAGGAAAAGTTGCTCCCGACGAGCGCGAAATTTTGGGGTGAAGGCACTCCGAAAAATATCAGTCAAATGATTAAGTAAACAAAACAACAACAATACGGCCAACGGTAGCCGTTCCAAAAAAAAAACAACAACAAAGCGCGTGCAGTCGCGAAAATGTCCAAAACGTGTCTGGCTTTATCTCTTTTTACCCTCCCGTTCACCCCTCCCCTGGAATTTCATTTTTGGCGCGTCGTGACCCATAGACTCTCTTCCAAAATGATCGCATCAGGTAAAATCTGAGAGAAAGATAAAAAGCAGCAGCTGTGGAACGAAAAAGGGGGTTTGTCAACACCCGAAGGTACATACATATGTCTATAGGAGTTCGAGATCGCGGGATAAAAAGCTCTGATTTGCTTTAATTGAGACTGAATGAAGTTTAGCAGGGCTTTTTAATAAATAAGATTTAAGATTTCTAATGCATCCATGCATAGTTACGTTTTAAACCTACGTGTATGCAACACTTTTTAAACATCATTAATTTTTGTATTTCTCTACTATTGTTAAATAACTTTAATATCCTTTTTTAGTTACTTAGTTTAACTTTGTTAGATTTAAACTTCGATTTTTTTTTGCAATTTAGTTTGGGTATTTCCAACCCGACAAATCTAAAGTTCATATATGTATATATAGCTAGTAATCTACCAATCAACGATAATAAAAAAGTTGGTTTGGTACAGAAGCAAATAATGCCTGTTCAATATTGTTTTGTTATTTATTACAACCAGCTAATCGAGTTATGTTTTGCCAAGTGAACAATAATTATTTCAGGGGTTCCATCAATTGGATTACCGCTGGAAATGAGCTGCGTTCGATCCCTCCGATGGCTTTTCTCATTAGGGAAAACCTAACACGAACCGAACGCATTTAATTCAATTTATTTATTATGTGCGGAACTCATGTGTGAGCTTGTTTCACCCTTTAATTGCATTTGTTTTGTTTTCGCCCGCCTGGATTACAAAATAAAATTATGTATTTTCAACGTTGGCTGTGCGCAGCATTTCATTTAAAAAGGCAATTGTTGGTTTTCTGTCTTTTTCAGTTTTTTTTTTTTTTTTTGTCTTTTTCGGTTTTTGTTTTGTCGGTTTTTTTGGATGTTCGGCAAAGCGTGGCGCTTGCCTCGAAAATAATTTGCATAATAAAGTGCTTAGGCTACCTGAAACCAATAAAAGAAATACCGCAACAACAATAACACTGCCGCCTAAAACAACATAAAGCCGCTGGTCGGATCGGGTCGGGCTATTGAAACATAAATAAATTTATGTAAATTAAATAAAAATATTAATTAAATTGTGTTTGCGGCGGGGGCCAAATTACGTCAGCCAACTCTTCTTCTTCTTCATTGCTGTTTCTACACCTCGCTTATTCCCTTTCGCAAATTCTTTTAAGCTCTTTTTCGGTTGAGCTTTTAATTGCTTTTTAATTGGAACGCGTTTTTGATTGCACAGAGAAAAAAATATCCTTTGAGTTGGTAAATGGCTTAAAATATATTTAAAAAAAATGAATTAATTATTAATATTGATATTAGAAACAAAAAAAATTATTTAAAAAAAACTTATTAAGGAATATAAATTGGTTGGTAAGAAACTTATTGATGGTAATCCTAACAATAACTAGAAAACAAGAACATATTTAGACTTTTTTCTCGATGTACAAAAAATGTAAAAAGAAACTGCATGGAAATTACATTGGGGAATTTCGCTCGCTTCTGTTTTTGTGTTGTAATTGATCATTTGGTATTCCGGACAGGCCAGTGGAATCGACTGGCCAAGTCCAGCAAGTCAGTCATTCCCAGGGTGTTATAACAACTTGTTTTGACTTTTTTGCATAGTTGGTTGGTCGCGTTTCGGGCTTATTAGTTTTCGTTTGATGAGTTTATGCATTGGGGGTCTTGTCGGTTGGTAATTAACTTGTATGCGTGGAGGGGATTGGGGATTGCGGATTGGATTCTATGGACTCCTTACCGTTTGAACCACTTGGTTTAGTATAGCCGCCTTGTCCGGTTTCGTTGAGGTCATATCTCCACGCTTGTTCAGCGTCATTATCTCCGACAGCTGCTCAATATAGCCGTTCTCCGCCTCGCGACGTCGCTTCTCATTGTTGCATTTGTTGATTTGTGATTGAGGCTGCAAGAAGCCGAATATTCAATAATAAATATTTTATAATTTTTTTAATCTTAAAAATTATTGATCAATAAATTCGTATTCGGTTTAGGTTGGCAATCCATATATTACAATATTTATTTTCATTCAGGATATTGCGTATACGTAATCTCATATTATAAGTTTGATTTAATTTGTTAAGCAATTTGCAGATTCTTTCAACATTTAGTACAAATACATAAAAAAAAACTTTTAAAGAAACAGAATTGAAAATTAGATTTTGAAGAGAGTATACGCAATTTTTTTTATTTAAAATAATTGCGTATACGCCATGTTGATTTATTTTTTATTAGGCAAAATACAATCCGAATGTTTTGTGTATGGAACTTTTTTAAGTTTGTAATTGACTTTATTAACGATTATAATAAGTAACACATAATAGATTTGAAAGTAACTATAAAATGTACCATCTAAAAGTACAAGTTTATATTTTAGTTGACATGGGAAGGGGAGATGTTTTTCAGAGCGATTAAATCGGTTTCTTAAAGGTCAAAACTCACCAGATTGACCTTTGAGTCCGTCTTGCGGCGTATCTTCCGGCCGGGCGTCGCTGAGTTGGCAGAGTTGGCTGAGATCGGCGATGCCACCGCATTCATATTGGCAGGCGATCGCTGCAGGGCAGCTGCAATATTTGCCGTTTGTGCGGCAACAACTGCCGCCGATTTATTCTGAATGGATCGCTGCTGCGAGATGAGTTGCTGCTGCAGTTGCTGGTGTTGCTGGTAGGCCAACTGCTGGTGTTGCTGCTGCTGCTGCTGCTGCTGATGTTGCTGTTGGTGCTGCTGCTGTTGCTGTAGTTGCTGCTGTTGGTGTTGCTGCTGCTGCTGGAGTGTAAGTGCCGCTGCTGTTGAGGCGCCTGCCACGCCCCCAGCACCAGCGCCGCCTCCGCTGGCTGCCGTCGCGCGCTGCAGTGGATGCGTTCCGGGCGCCAGTCCGTGGTGCAGTCCGCTCAGCAAGTTGCTGCCACCAATGCCGCCGCCGGCCGACGATAAAGTAACGGCTGCTGTGGCAGCGGCCGGCGATGAACGCGGCAGGTTGCAGACCGATATGTTGCCGCTGTTGTTGTTGTACTTGCTGCTGTTGCCGCTACTGTTGCTGCTGCTGCTCCCGCTGCTGCTGCTGTTGTTGTTGCTGCTGCTGGCACTGTTGCTGCTGCTGCTGCTGCTGGTTGAGGTCGCTGGATTTGACGTTCCTGAGGCCCAATGATCTGGTAAGTCACTTGGGCTAAGCCTGCGAACAGAAAGGTTAAATATTGTCCATTAGTTGAATGTACATACTTATGAAGCAGAATATATAAAAAAAATTTTTAAATGTTCATGTAATATATAGGTATTTTATTTTAAATATGATAAATATAGTGTTTTTTGTTTAGTCCTTAATTGTTGGTTACGGTTCAGTGTAAATAAATCAACATTGTATTTCAGTTTTTATAACTCATAATTAATGTTTGGAACATTGAGTTTTCATACCCACGCCTGATAATTTCTACAGATTAATCCCAATAACAAATGCATATATATTTATATGTTCATAGTTATTTTGAAATTGAAAATATTTCATACGTTTGCTTCAATATATTTTTCTTATCAAAAAATAAATACCTTTTGTTTCGATTTCATCTCCTGATAAAAAATATTTCAATGTTATGTTGTTTTAGTCGACTGCCTATTAAGCGAATAATATTTAAGTATCAAAATGTACTTGAAGGTACAAAAGATAGTAAGTATAAAGTGTGCAAAAACCATTGTGTGATGGCCTTGCTTTGGTTTTTAGACTTGGTTTTTGTGGCCTGACCTCGTATTTTTATCAGAATGTAAAATTTCCTGCTCCCTTTGGTGAGTTTCTTTTTTATGTATTTGACTGAAATTATTTTGGTTGAGGTGCTGCTTCAATTACGCTTTATTGCGTAATTAATTTGCATTTGAGCAGCGCAAGAAGTACCGAAAGCAATTAGCTGTTCGTGTGGTAAGACTTTTGTGGTTTGGTGACTTGAATAGGTGATTTATTTATGGTGGTAAAATAGTACTTGCAGTAAATTGCGTATTAGGAAAGCTTGTCACTATTATTTAAACAAAAGGAATTCATTTTAATATATGTATTTGGGAATCATATAACAAATAGTAATAAAGTTTTTTATCCTACAAAGGGCATATTATAAATTGCGAAGTAATTCTTTCTTAAGGAATTAGCTCTTAATATTTTTTGTTTTGAAAACTTTCAGAAGAAATTGACCTACTTCGCCTTGAGGTTTTACCTGCCAATTTGAACTATTTCCACGGGCCGCATTCCTATCTCTTTCCCCCAAGAAATAAAAATTTTCCGCGGAATGTGGCATCTTCATTTTGAACAGTAGGCAGCCACTTCAAAGGATTTTGGAGAGAGCCTCCTTGTTTTCCGCACAAACTTAATCATTTGTAAGCCGGGATTTCGGCAAGTATTTCGTAGAGGTGGTGACCCCGATTTTTGGTCTGAGAGTTGCCACCGTAACGTGAGGCAAATTAATGTTGTCAGCTTTCGGATGGAATGGATCGGGAAGCCGGTTTAGAACCCGGACACAAAGTGGTCATCATGGCCATTACTCTTGTTGTTGCTGCGGTGTTTTGTCCCCTTCATTACCAACATTTTTTATTTGGGCTCTTTCATGTCAGTTTTCATTTGGTCTGGTGATTAATTGTTTACTTTGCTTACTTAAAGAGCGAAATAAATTTCATTTTTGCGCACTCTGCGTGACACTACACGAAACGCTGTTTTCCAGGAAGCCGAAATTTAATTGGAGGAAATAGGTTCAATCAAGGAACAAGCAAGTTCACAAACTCGATTGCAGTTAACTATATTTGTGTTTTCCCCGCTCCTACGGACCGCATTCACCTCCGAGACTCACTCAACCAGTTGAGCGTGAAGCCTTCAGTCGAAATTGAGGACCACCCGGTGCTGCAACTGCAACTGCTTCTTATTCATCCACTTTTTAATTACATTATATGCATAATGAAGAGAGCCCCAGAGATTGGGGAGCGGGCCAGAACCGAGAGCGGCAACAAAATAATTACAGCCAACTGGACATTATGGGGAGATATAATCAGCGCAGAAAAAAAAAAAAAACAAAAGAAAAACTATAAGGTAGGAAAAGCTAAAATACACTTATTAAACCATATTGCTTTGGAAGTTAAGAGTTAAAGAAATATTACGAAAATATTTATAAAGAAGATTTAAGTATAATATACTTGTTTATCTATAAAAGAATTTTAATACCATTAAACTACCCATAGTTTTTAATTTTTCAATCTAGTCTTCAGAGTATTTTTCAAACTTGAGGGATTTAAAGGGAATTTAATTTGTTATTTAACTAAGTCTAAGAGTTCCTTAAAAAATGTAAAATACCTTTTTGAAAGGGCACAAAATAACAAGGGGAAACGCTGACCGTTGGCCAAAATGTGAATGCAATGGGCGCCAAAATGAGTGACGTTCCGCCAGTTCGGTCTTCTTTGCAGGTTTTCTGGCTCTGTTTTTCCTTTTTTCCCCCCTTTTGACAAGCGCAATAATTGTGCGAATTCTTTTCGCTGCTGCTTCTGTTTTTTCTGTTTGTTGCTGGCTATTTTGACAGGGCGACACTTAAAATGTGGCAGCTCGCTATGATGATCATAATCATCCACAGCGGCCACGTTCCCGTCCCATCCTATGCTGCTCTATCACTCTGCCACACAGGGCGTATGATTGACGCGCTTAATTAAGGCAGCCAGAAAAGAGCGAAACGGAGGCGAACAGCGTAAATTAATTAAATTACAATTAATGCAGTAAGTCAGTTGACTTATTTACGCTATTGCCGTTGGATCCGTTGGCTCCGTTGTTTTTTCTCATTTTATTTTTGATTCTTTTTTGTTGGGCTTATCAATTTGCACTTTGCTGCTTTCAATCTGCTCTCTCTGTTTTTGCTATTTTCGCCATTTTATCGTCATGAGCTGGGGGGAAATACATCGTATTTTTAAACAAACAACCAAATTTATGCAGAGAGAAAAGTAAAAAAGGGGAAACAAGAAGAGTAAAAACTTTCGCCTTACAAAATAAACAATCATTTTGTTTTAAACTGACAATGAAAAGTAATTGTTTAATCAACGAAAAATTAAGATATGGTAACAGAGATCTTAATGGGAAATATAATTAAAATATTAATCTGCGCCAATTTATCATGGCTAAATACTCTATTTCACCTTCCAGAATCTCAAAAAGTTAAGATACTTTTTTTACTTAACAATTGAAGATTAGTAAATAAACATAATGTATTGCTTATATTTTATTGATTTTTCATTTTCATTATACTGCAATGATTTAATAAATTGCATAATGGTGAAATACGCTCCGATTCAATCACCGCTGTCAATAAAATTTCACGAAATTAATATATCAACCTGTCAGCAGCAATGATTCCCCGAAAGTTCTGGCAATGATTTCTCTCTTTCTTTCCTTTAAAACTCTTTGATGATGAATTTGCATTCCGATGGAGACATAAACTAATCGGCAAGGTCATTTCATTTCACATGAATCACAAAAAACAAAAAAACGTAAACAGAATCAAAATATATAGAGAAAACAAATTAGTCATTATATTTAATGTTGATTATTATGCCGAGCTGTGTTTTCGATATTAAGTTTAGCTTTTTGAGCTTTTATTTTCACCTATGCGGAGAGCTTAGACAAATTGAGTCACGACTCACGTGATGGGGAATGTTATGGAGTGTAGCTGTGCAATTTAAATCACATCGCTCATACGCACGGTGTGCCAAGAAGACGACAGAGCAAAGAAAGAACCTCGGGGGCAAAGCTCAAAGCAATTTTGTGGGTTTTAGAAGGTCTACGTGATGTTCGGCTGGTCGCCTCAAACTTGGAATTCGGAATTCAAAGTGGATTATGGTAAAATTGTAAACAAAATTTACAAAACCCAATGCATAAAATTGAAAATAAATTTATTATAATAATAACGTCAGTCATTTCTTACTTTTTCTATATTTTAAAATATTGTACCTGAATATTTACTTCGACAGGCATTTAAAATAACTTTTAACAATCTGAAAAATTACTTTTATCTTTTACCGAAATCTATAAAGTAATTTATTTTGGTTGATTCACATTTTGAGTCACTTCCGCAAATTCAAAAATATCCTTGACATCAAAAGCGAATTGATATCACCCTTGACAACAAATACACTTTGTAAATACTTATTGTGTTTTTATTTGTGCCTGTGGAGCGGAGTTTCTTTGGAATTTGAATGGCTGAAATGCTGATTCACTCTGACTAAACCAAATATGCGGGTTAGCTTCTCACAGGTAAGGTCACTTTACTTTGGGTATTCCCAAGAATTGTAAATACGATAGCTATGAGGTGTATTTAAAGGAATTTTGGTGTTGCTAGTTGTAGTAGAAGTTATCTTAAATGGTTATCAGAAGTTATCATTGAATTTGTATAGTAGTATTAGTAAATAGTTATCGAAATGTTTTATCCATTTCATTTAATAATAGATTGTCTATTGTATTTATTGTATTTATTGTTGGCATAAGTATAAATTGTTATCAGGAGGTTCGATCCATTTCTGTGACAACTTCCACCCGACTTAACCCCTCTTTAACCCTCACTTAAACTCGTCTTATTTTTGGATTTTCGTGAGAGCTTTTGTTGACTTGTCCCAGCTGTCTGAGCTGCCATTCGCCACAAGCGGAGACCGGTGCACTTGTTTAAGCCAAGTTAACTAAGTCTAGTCTTGTCTAGCTGACGTTCCCACCCCCTCTCTTTCCCCATCCCCATCCCCAGCCCCTTTCCTTTTGCACCTCGGACAACCTCATTTGCTCAGCTGCTTTTGTGTGTTTTTTTGTGTGTTTTTTTTTTTTTAGTAAATTCGTGTGGGTAAGCCTGCATTTTAGCAAACTAATTGTGTGAATAAAACATATGTTCGGTTCGGTCTCTCCGCTCCGAGAGACACAATGCTCTCGGTCCTCAGTTTCAGTTTCAGTTCAGTTTGTGTTTCTGTTTCAGTTGCCTCTGCCGTTTTCTGTTTGTGGGTCGCTCTCGGCTACAGTCATTGCTACAAATAATAAAGTGGGTCATGGATGAAAGAAAAAGCGTTTTATAAAGTGGGTCATGAATTTTGTTTCACTCACGTTCAAGTGTATTTCGATTGCCGCTCGCAGTTGTTGCTTTTGTTGTTGTTGTTACTGCGGCAGCTTGCTGATTTTTTATATAT